AACTCTGGAGCGTAATTGAAATAAGTTACAGTAGTTTACCAAACATTCTTCAATTGAGGGTAATTCGGTCAATTTAAAATTCAACTTAAAATTGTGAACAAAACAATTTAGAGGGTACTGAAATTTGATTGGGTTATTCTAGCCAATCAGATAGAAGCGAAATAGTCTCAAATCAAGATGTTGAAATCTTGGGGGGCGTTCAACAGTGTATACAAAGTATACAACAGTGCCGAAAAACGTAGGAAAATTTCAGAAAAATTAAAACGAATTTTCTAAAGAGCGGGAAGTTAATGACGCTAATTCAACGTTCTTCAGTTATGCGGTTATTTTTGAAGGAATCTAGCATTTACTCAAAGTTAGCTTATGAAAAATTTGTATTATTCAATATATTAGTACTAAGAACAATATACTAAAAGCACTAGTTAATTTGGTTAAAACAAATGCGATCACTTTCTTCTTCAGCAAACTTCTTGCAAGACCGACTTTTGAGCAGCTACGAAGGTGGTCATTTTCCCCTGGAGCTTTCTCTGTGTTTTTTTTCTAATCTGGGTAAAACTATGGAGCGTAATTGAAATAATTAAGAGTAGTTTACCAAACATTCTTCAATTGAGGGTAATTCGGTTAATTTAAAATTCGACTTAAAATTGTGAACAAAACAAGTGAGAGGGTACTGAAATTTGGTTGGCTTATTCCAGCCAATCAGATAGAAGCAAAATAGTCTCAGTTCAAGATGTTGAAATCTTGAGGGGCGTTCAACAGTGTATACAACAGTGCCGAAAAACTCGTCCATTCGGGTCAAACGAGGGTGATCGGTCGACTAGAATGAAAAGGTAAAAGCTCGACTAACACTTTATGCTCCGTCCAAACCGGAGTTCTTTTTGGTCCCAACGGTCTGAACATGTCAAATTAGGGTCCAAACTTGACATGTTAATTTAAAATTCGACTTAAAATTGTGAACAAAACATTTGAGAGGGTACTGAAATTTGATTGGCTTATTCTAGCCAATCAGATAGAAACAATATAATCTCAGTTCAAGATGTTGAAATCTTGGGGGGCGTTCAACAGTGTATACAAAGTATACAACAGTGCCGAAAAACATAGGAAAATTTCAGAATAATTCAAACGCATTTTCTAAAGAGCGGGAAGTTACTGACGCTAATTAACAAAGAAAATCGCTCAAATTTTGGCACAAAAATGTCTGTAACTGCGAACTAAACAATTATTTTGGCGTCAAAACATGTAAGCTGTAAGCTTTCTCGCTCAAAACCTTAAAGTGTCACTTAAGATTGTAAACGATTGCCGTTTCATTTTTTGGTTGCCGCACTCAATATATTGAAATTTGTTTAAATTTTTGGCACTTTTGAACAAAGTTTTCATTTTCTGCACTGTTGCACTTCGGCACTGTTGTACTGCCCCAAATATTGCTTTAAGGGCTGGATAAGTTAAACGGCCCGACATTTTAATAGTTAGATAAAATTAGTTCAAACTTTGTGACGAATTTGTGTTCTACTTAGCATAAAAATTTTAGTGTTTTCGGCGATTCGGGAATGCGGCTATGTGGGTACGCACCGAAACACAGGTACCGAATAAGCAATAACACTTTTGACAACTAAATGCTACATAAATTATACATTTCAAAAATCTCGCGAACTAAGCTGAATTAGAAAACTTTTGGTGAAAAATTGTAATAACTATACTGTTTATGTAAAGCAGATGCAACTTTCCATGGGTTTCATGGGGGTCGTTAAACAGTGCCGAAACTGGAAAAAAAATAAACGCTCAACAGTCCCAAAAAAAAATCATACTTGATTAATCGTAGTTGATCGTGGTTCCACATTTAAAAGTTCACATTCTGAATAAACATGTTCTATTGCGCTCATCTTTCTGCATCCTGTAAAAACGCGGAGAGCAGCATTTTGAATTATTTGCAGTACCTTTAAAGAAGTTTTACTGGCAGTATGCAACTAAGCAGGGCTTTCATAATCTATTTAAGTCTTACTAACAAGGTAAAAGTGACCAGTAAAGTTTCTTTGGACTGGCCCCACGAAGTCCCGGATAAAACCTTGAGGATCAATATCATGCGCGCGGCTTTTCGGTTGTTCGTCTGCAATGTTCTGCCAAATTTAGGGAGGACACCAAGTATTTTGGTAGGTTTCTCACCGGGCAGTATAGTAATTTTCATTTCAACAATCGGGTCCGTGTTGAAATCTTTAATGAAAGAAAGAAAAATGCCGGCCGAACCTTTAGGAGAAAAAACAAGAGCCCTTGGGGTAAAAAACTTGTGTAACTTAGATAACTGGGTAGGACAGATCAGGACGTTGAAATCTTGCTGGACTGGACAAAATGCTGAAAGTCATGAGCGTAATACTGCAGTTTTACATCGGGCCAAGGTGGAAAAACCCGGATGTAAACGTTGAAAAATTTTGGGGGATAAGACTGATCCTTCAGGAACGCCTCTACAAACAATCCTAAATTTTGAAAGGGTGTCCCTGATCATAGTTTTTGATTGACGCCATTCAGGTAGCTTGACAACCACTTAATTAGACTTTCCTCTACGCTTGTGCCATAAAGGAGATCCAGGAGGGTGCAATGGCTGACCATGTCAAAAGCTTTTGTCATAAAATAATTAAAAACCTCATATCTCAAAATCTACAGAGAATTGAGTAGCCCCATATGGAGGTAAGATTCGTAACTCCTGAAAATACTCTGAAAGCAACCCAACTACAGGGCTAGGAATTTTAAAATTTGAAAAAAATTAATTTAGGTTATTTGAATTTTTTATGAAAAAATCACAAAAAAACGCCATATCTAAAAAAAAATGAAGATTCGATTAGTTATATCCAGAGGCACGATTCATAACCCCCGAGAAGCTGTGAACACTTTGACAAACCCCACTACAGATTTGGAGGTGCAAATATCGAGTTTTTGAAAAAATCAAAGAGAACGTCATATCTCGAAAACTACAGGGAGTTGAGCAATCATATTTGGAGGCAGAACTTGCAGCTCCTGGGAGTATCCTGGGAGAGCCTTATTTTAGAGATGGGAACTTCAAATTTTTTATTTCTTAATTCTTTGGAAAATCTTGAAAAAACCATAAAAAACTTCATATCTCGAGAACTACAAAGATTTGAGAAGTGAGATTTGGAGGCAAGATTCGCAATCCCTGAGAGTACTCTGACAGCCTCCAACTACAGGGTTGAGAATTTAATTTTTTCAGAAATTTTTAAAAATTAAATTTTCTAGAATTTTTGAAAAATCTCTAAAATTGCCGTATTTTGTAACTTGAAAGGATTTGGTTATTCATATATGGAGGCCGATATCGCAACACCCCAGGAAACCCTGTCTGCATCCTACTATTGGGTTGCTTAATTGAAATAAACACTGAATTCAAACAAGAAAATCGAAAAAAAAATCTGGAGCCTGGTTTGATGATGGTCATTTAGTGGGTAAAGGTAGATTCAATAATTTCGGCTCAGAGTTTAGACCCTCGTTGGTCTTCCGGGATAGCACCAAAGAGGGGAGTAGGCATTAGCATCACAGAGGACGATACTGTTTTCATCGGATAAGAGCGCTATAAAGCATGCTTAAATCTTGGGGGCACTTAGAGCGGGAGTAATGTAGAAATTGATGATACGGAGATTTGGGGTGCTGGCATTTACTTGTACGCAATGTGACTCCAAAATTCCGTCTTCCGCTGTTTCTAGTTCCTTGTATAGAAGGGATTTGCGAATGGAAGCAAGGAGCCCACCTCCTTCTCGAGTACGGTTTTTTCTAGTAATTGTATAAATTGGGCCCAGCGAGGGGGTGAGATTTTTCAACTTTAACTTAGTTTCTCGGAAAATCTCGATGTGGATTTGGTATTTGAACTGTAAGGCTGCAATTTCGGGTGCTTTACCAGAGATGTTATTACAATTTAATTGAGGGAGGGAGCTGGCTTGGTACAGACTTAGTACAGAGGGAATTTGCTTGGTTGGTTGTGGGGTTTGTTGCAGTATGAGAATTTGACGCGAATTCGGAGTTTGATTCGTTCTAAGGGAATGTGTGATCACTAGGTGGGAATTAGTTGTTGGAGGGGGATTTGTTACGGGCTGGCGAGTAGGGTTATTAATGTTATTCACAGGAGGGGGCAGTATATAAGATTCAGTGCAAGAGGTGCAGCAAAAATCTCTAGTCCTCTTTGAGCTTTTTAAGACCGCTACATTTAAAATGGATCTAACATATACATGGCACCAGACGCTGGCTTGGTTCAGTAATTTTTTTTGATTGCAAGGTGAGCAGACATAGTGACCAGGGTTGGATCAAAATTAATAGATGGAGCGACCCGACCGACTTAATAGAGCCGGTAAAATATGACGCTACGCTTGCTAGTTGGTTTGGGTAAGAGAAGCAAGGTAAAACATAATCTTCTCATTTACGTTTCAGGAAAAAAAATGAGTACCCGGTTGTAATACACATGCTTATCCAAGGGTAAAAATTGCGAGCTCAAAATCTTTCTAGACTTAAGATCAGGGGCGGATTTAGCCCCCCATCTCAGGGATTCGACTTCCTGTCGACCCAAAGGGTCCCCCCTTTGTACTATTTTGAGATACCCATTTTCGGCAGACGTATCCAAAAACTTGGCCAAACAGTATTTTAAGTGATTTGGGAGAGCTCGAAAAAATCAATTTGGTCGACCTAAGAACAAGAAGATTGACAAAATTTTCGAATTTTTTTTTTTGAAAATCCGCACCTTTCGCGAAAAGCCTAGATCCGCCCCCTGCCTAAGATCAAACTGATGCATTTAGAAAGATGAAAAAACGGACCTTTGAGTGGCCGAAAAAGCAATGCTTTCATTCGAATGAATGATATCCCCCTAATTTGATCATAGTAGATTGTTCAGTAGAGCAGTTTGTCATTTTAGTTGTCACACATGGTACAACCACTGCTTAAAAAACTGAAACTTGTGCGCCGTACGTGGTAATAGAAACGATTAAAAGAGATGAGAGACAAGAAGTACTTGCCTCCGTATACTTCTGAGGTTGATGCGAAGAGTAGCTTGGCCTTGACTCTGCTGGCCAGGCCTAACATGTTGATAGTGCCTATCGTATTCGTCTTCACTGTCTAAACACAAAAAAACTAACATCACATGGACACAAACACGATGCGTGCCCAAAACAAAATCTATGATAACTTCCCCTAGGGAGCATGTTCCTTATTGATCAGGGCGATCCTTTTCTGCTGTGTTTTATATCAACTGTCTTCAAATGGTAAATTCAATATTCTGTAACACAGCTGAAAAAAAATACTTGGTCTTTAAGAATGTTGCATAAGCGGAGTTTCACACTACTTGCGATTCATAAAAATACAGAAAAAATGGAAAATGTTACAAAAAAACTAGGTGGACCAAAATTTTCGTATGTCTCGATGAAGGACACCTAGAGATCAACTAAAGCTGGAGGTACGTATTCGATATTTTTTGAATACTATGCGGGACGAAAAAATTGGACTTTGCCCAAAACCTTAGTTCTTTCTCTACTAAAATAAATTAGATTTTTCAGGTTTTGGAATTTCCCAAAAACCTAAGCTTTCTCGTAGAAAATCATAAAAGAGCAGCCACTTCTGCAGGAAAAATTCGCACAACCGCTTCTTCCGATTGAAATGTTCATCTCAGATATGAAGTTTTTAATAAAATTCGAGTATTTTTTAAACAAGGGTCAAAGTTCAGAAAATTGAATTTGCGAATCGGTAACTTTTTTTCTACTAAAAACAAGTCATGGCCGGTAAATTGAAGACGATTTCCAAAACCGGGTTTTTCGATTAAACTCTTAACCTGAAAATTGGCACGGTAACTTCGAGTAGAGTTAAAAAAGTTTCCAAAAAACGGTCCCAGTTTCAAAACTTTCACTTGTTTGAAAGCCAAAACTTTTTCTACAGGAAACTAAGCGTATCCAATTATGAAGGTAAGCTGTTGAGTTGATTAAACCTATGATATCAGGTTTGGCACGCCCGTTATCGAAAAAATCCAGAAAACCAGTCAACGGATCAGAAAGTTGACATTTCCGAGAATCACAGCTTTTTGTTTAAAAAAGTTGAGCGTAGCCACTAATGCACAAGAGATTCACCTGATCTTTTTTTCCGACTGAACCAAAAACCTAAGTTTTATAGGCGTTCTCGAGAAAAGTCACAAAGTTTCAAAAAACGGTCAAAAAACCAAAATTTTGGCTTTTTCAAGGGCCATAAATTTTTGTATCAAAATAATTAGGGCAGTCGCGTGAGCACAGGAGCTTCCTACAATCCTATCTTTGGATTGAACCCAAAATCTTAGACATGAAAGTGTATTTTTTGGTAAAATTCACAAAATTTTGACCAAAACGGAAAAAACTGCGAGTGACCGCTATTGCAGGGAAACTTCCAACTACCTGATAACGCCGTTCAACCCACAACTTGTGAAGTTTGTGAGGTTACTTTTAGAGAAAAGCTAAAAAAATCAAAAAACAGTCCAAAAAATCAAAAATTTTGCTATTCTGAGGGCCATAACTTCATGTGACGAAAAAAAATTAGAAAAAACGGGTCATGGAAGGACGCTTATCAAATCCGTTCCATTATTTGAAACCAACATCCTAGACTTGGTAGGTTAGCTTTTGAGAAAACGAAAAAGAATATATCTATCAAACTTATGGAGCGGAAACAAGGCCGACAATCTTTGAGCATACACCAGTTGAGCCGACAAAAAAAATATTTTGTAAACTTCACAAAGTTTCAAGTCCGCCTTAAAACTACCCTGTAGTAACTAGTACCCACCCAGTATTTAAGTTTGAATTTTCATGAAACTCAGCATGTCAGCAGAAGAGCAAGTCAAGTGAAGAGCATTGAGCATGTCAAGTGATTCAACTGATTCAAAGTCTACATTCCGATTTGATAATACTTGCTAATTGCGAGCGTCAAGATTTTATTTAAGTTATCAAGTTCTAGTTGCAGTTACTGAGTTCTAATTGCAATTACAGAGTTCTATTTACAGATAGGTAATTGAGTCATCCTTTTGATTCCCAAAATGGAACATATCGTTCGTGAGACTGCAGAATTTTTCTGAACAAACAACAACAGTTATTTTTTGTATTGAACATCCACTCTCCAATCAACTCTTGTCAATTTCGTTTTTCACGGCGGTGAATGTTGATAGTGTGACTAAAAATGGAAAAAAATTGAAAGCAGGCTTGGTAAGCGGAATCAATATTGAGATGAAACAAAAAGAACAAAAAGGCAAATGCAGTTTTGACTTAGCTGGGACAGTGAACGGAGAGTGAAACCAGCCAATTAAATTGAAAATTGACAAAAACTTAGAAGCGCGTAGTTTCTCCAGTTAGCCTTTCTTCCAGGTGTCGGTTGAATTAAATTATTTCTTCAAACCTTTGACCAGGCCGTTGTTCATAAAAGCTTCTTATTGAAGTTTCGATTCGAGATTTCCTCGTTTAATTTTTTTTGTTTAGAGCAAAATAGACAAATTCCAAAAGAAACCCTATGTAGAGGTTACGCATTCTGCATTGTTTTGGTGAATGACTAAGAACAGCATTTTGCCATAATGGGAAAAAGTGTAATCAAGTTTTAAATCAATTGTTTCTGGAGGTAATTAACTCCTAATGGTCAACAATGCTAAAGGAAGGATAACTTGTACAAACAATGGCAAGAAAGTTCAAAAAACTTTCCTAAAAAATGAGCGGGAAATTGATTTCATTCAGGCAAGCTTTCATTCAGGATTTCATTCAGGCATTGAGCGGGAAATTGATTTCATCGAGTAGGAAGGGAGAAAAAGAAGGAATAACTAAACCAAGATCTTTCGGGTAAATTTCTTCTCCAATTTTTGCATGCTACACCAAGATAAATTATATTATTTTTATGCGAGTAGTGAAGGTAGTGAGAGATCGTTATCACGCATTTTTATTGAAGTATGGATTAAGGGCAGGCTTTGTAGTTGTATTTAAGGTTTCCTGAGAAGTTTGCTGAAGACCTGCTTACTGTTCTAAGAAGATGCTATCATTTATGACAATTAAGGTTACTTAAGATCTGTAAACCTGTTAGAAATCGAGGGTGCGAGCATTCAGTTCAGCTGTAACTTAAGGAACATTAGAAACTACAACAGCTCAAACAGCTTGTATTGAAATTTTTTTAAAGCAAAAAAGGCTGAGGTTGTGGGCATTCTATTCATAGGTCAATTTCGACCAACAACCGCAGTTGTCTTTTCTCAGTTAATTTGTCCTGCAGGAATACGTCCTGTCAGTTTAGCAGTAGTGCATCATTCTTTGTGGGGCCCCACTAAATTTTGCTAGCATTTTTGGTATCGTCAGGTAATTATAATTGCTTCAGTAGCTAGGGTATCCAATTATGAAGATTGAAATACCAGTTGCCAAAATTTAACCAGTATCCTAGGCCTGTAGTTGGGTCAAAATGATAGTCAAAATTATGTGTGATTGTGCGTGATTCTTTAAAGAATGCAAGCCTCAAATAAAACCTAAAAACCTTTAAAAAATTTTTAAAAAATGCTGTGAAGTGATGATATTGTCTAACCAGATAGTCGGAGGATCAATACAAAAACAACAATGAAATAATAATGAGATAATAGGACATTAGCAGAAGAAGCGGATCATGCTTTGGGTTAGCTCTCATTCGAGGTAGGAAAATCTTAGTTAATCTTTTATGAGGCGAATTTTGCTGCTGCACAATTTGCAAATCAACATACTTGTTTATGTCCAGCCTCTCAATTATCTTCAACTGTGTCAAAATCTCTTCGTCAGAGAATTGATTTCGCTCGTTATCTTCCTCTTCGAGATAGTCTTTGCAAGTTGTTTGATAATCATCAACATCAGAGTAGTCTACCTTTAAACTCGATTTTTCGTTTTCTACTTCTTCATCACTGTAACTCTTCATTTTCTGTGGCGAGACCGGAATCGAGATTATATCTATCGTTAAAATGTGGGCCAACGTTTTGACTGTTCTCTGCGTAGCCAGAGCATGACAAATATGCCAAGATAAATCAAACTTCGTTGTTTTGCTTATAATTGGCAGCAGTATCTTGACTTGCTCGAGGTTGCGCAGTTCAACATTTCGTCATTTTTGATTCTGGCAACTTGAATTCTTCGGCGAAAAATAGACCAAAAATTTTCTTAACGTTAGCGTGTTCTTGGAGCTGTACCGTCTTATATTTGAGAGGCATTTCGCAATGAATTGCTCTTTTAATAGCTGGTTTTGCTATTTTGCTCAAACTATTGCCTTTGCGTCGTTGTCATCTGAAATGACCAAGATTGCTAGACGATTCAAAACAGTTAGAAAATCCAGTGCATCCTCAATTTCGGATTGGAAACATCTATCTCAGAATTCAAACTCACATTCTCGGATTCAGTCAAGCACTGCGTACCGGTTTTGCAATCGCTCGAAAGCTTGATCGAAATCATTCCGCCCAGCTCCAAGATTTGAAGAAAAGGTGAGCGCTTCACCGCCTAAATGGAGATGAAAAAAAAACAACTCGCTGATTTTAGGCTTCTGTATGCAAGCAAATGTGGAAATAGCTCGTAAGGGTCCTCCGAACTTCAACCAGTCTTCGTCAGTTTCTCCAGTACACGTTGAGTTTGAATTCACTAGTTTGAATTCACCAGAGATTGAAACAGAAGGTAGAGTTGGTGCGGTTATGGTGCAAGTTTTTCGAATATTTTTTGTGAAGATGAAAATACGTGCAAGATCTTTGGGTAAGTTGATCGTATATTTTTTGTGAAGATGAATCAGTTATGAGGTTTTTAAATTTGATTGTAACCGAAAATTGAATTTGAATATTGTTTCGAAGTTAGAACATTATAATAGAGGTAATGGTTTTTTTTATAAGAATTTATAAAAACCAAGTGTATGTTTTTGAAAAGACTTTCTGTTTTTGAAAAGATTAAGTTTCGAACTCCAAAACAAAATACATGGCCTTAAAGCGTTTTGCATTTCAATAACAATTTATGATTGACACTTTTTTGATTAAATTAAACCAATTTAAAAAAATGGATAAAAAGATGGGAAATCTAAAATAAAATCCATTTTTGAAATTAGAAGTCGATCACGTTTTTTCAGTTTATCACGAACATTATAAAAGAAGTAATGGTTTTTTTTGATAAGAATTTATAAAATCCAAGTGTATAACTTCAAAATTATAAAACTCATAATACAAAACGAACATAATTCTAGAGAGGTTAAGGATAGTATTAACGCAGAAGAGTATTGGATTGTAGTTTTAAATTGAGTTGAAAGTTGTTTATCAGGTTTTGTAATAGTTTCAATTAATTTAGCGAAAGATTTTAATATTAGATTGAAAACTTGCAAAAAACGCCACCATCTCTGTCAACATATGATAACCTTAAGTCATTTCACCTTATTGGTGCTTTTTGCGCTTTGATTCTGCGCTGTTTTATACCAACTGCTTCAAAAGTTAAAATCAATATTCTGTTCAACAGCTGAAAGAAAAGGCTTGGTATATAATAATGGTGCATACAGCTTATCGGTCAGAACTATAAAATGAGTTTTAATTGCAGTTATCAAGTTCTAGTTACAGTTACTGAGTTCTATGTGCAGTTATTTAAATCTAGTTGCAGATAGGTAATTGAGTCATCTTTCTGATTCCCGAAAGGAATGAATCGTTCACGACAAAATCATTTTCTGACCAGAGATATGAGGTCCTCGGATTTAAGAAAAAGTAAGGATGAATTCAGACGTGAGGTTAAGCTCAACAATCAATAAGATTGGAAACAAAAAATTATGAAAACTTGGGCACAGTATCTGCGGCCTCACACATAAACTTGCTTATACATGTCTTGCATTTATGACTTTCTTCGCGCTGATACTTTGGACCAACACATGAAAGTGTCAAAAAGTAGAAAAGTATAGGCGTAGAACAATAACACTCAAAAATGTTAAGTTAGCCCAAGACAATATGCAAGACCGAAAACATCAAATCGATCTTCAAACAATCCATTTTATATACTATCTCAATTTGTATGGTGGATGAACATAAAAGTAATTTGTTCAATCGTTGATCAACCAACATAAAAACGTACTAAAAAATCACGAGTCTTCAATTTTATCTTCTAGCTTTTTGCGTCAGTCCCATGGCGTCATTGTAAAAAATTTAAGAAGTCTTTAGAGATTTTGATTCTGCTAAAGTCTAAAACGGAAAAGACTGTTTAAAGCTTTTATAAAATTGAAGAGCGGTGATTTTTTGGGTGATAGGTTAGAAGATACATATTATGGGCTGGCTGACCTTAATGGGGTTGTACATGTAATGAGGAGGGGAGGCGGGAGACGCCAGATGGTATATCTCATCCACCTCCAAGTATATAGGCAGAGTGACATCATGGTTGATGAGTTCGAAGTTTGGGTGCTGCAACCAATGGTCTATGTTCCTCTTCCTTCCAGTGAAGAAGTTGTCCACTACTGTCACCTCGTGACCTTGCCTCATCAGAAGGTCAACCAAGTGCGATCCAACAAAGCCAGCGCCTCCAGTCACCTGAAGTTGTTTCATCACATTAAACCCCAATGCGGGATTTACTGACATTGCAAACACCAATGATAACAAATATCATAATATTAATAATAGTAGGATGCGCATTGCCGGTGTTATATTAGCCGACCAATATCGATGAAATTTTGGTGGCTGTTTGATGACGTATTTTACCGCAAAAAAATTATAAAATATTGAAAACTTGTTAGAAAGACTAGAAGTTTTTGCACTTTCAATATTATGCTTGCACCCTACCGGAATTGCCAAGCCACAAAAACTTAACCTTTAATTTTCACAGGACTTCTCTTCAATAAATTTTCTGATCTGTTTGTTCTTTTTCATTTCTATAAAAATTTAAACAGAACACTTTGAAATTAAACTGGAGCTGAAAAACTATTTTAAAATATACAAATTAATGACTGCCAATGATTGCGGCTATAAATTTTTAAAAAGAGAAAAAGGTTGTTAACTTTGCGGCCATTTAAAACTACAAATTTTCTCTAATAAAAATTCAGTAGCATACCTTTTCAAACATGTATATAAACACAGCCAACAGATAGTTGAAAAAGAGTAAATCAACGCAGGGAAACAACTGAGACAGTGTCTTGTTTTTTTTTGAAAAAACCGAATTTCGAACTCCGAAACAAAATACAAGGCCTTAAAGCTCGTTGAATTTCAATAACAATTTACGATTGACACTTTTAATTAAATTAAACCAATTTAAAAAAAATAGATAAAAAGGTAAATTAATTTGAATTGAACATACTATGTAATCAAAGTCAATCGAACCGCTAAGAAACAAACCTGAATTGAAAAATTGATCAACTTTTGCGATAAAAAAACTAGCCAACAGACAGTGGAAAGAGTCAATGAACGCAATTGAACAGAAAAAAAACAAAGAATTATTAGAAAAAAAACTTTCGAATTTCAGAGAAAAAATAGATTCCCTTAAAGCTCTCTGAACTCCCCGAACAATCGAAGAATGAGAGTTTTTTGATAAAATTAACCTAATTTGAGAAAACTGAATCAATGGGAAAACTTTTTATTCCACTGGGAAATCTGAAAATTAAATTCCGCTTTCGAAACTAGAATTCGATCACGTTTTTCGTGACCTTTACGCTTCTGCTGTTCCGTAGATGAGTTTGCTTTCCTTTTAACAAAGAAAATGAAATGAACTTTAGAAAAAATCATAAGTCAAACTGCGAAAAAATAAATTTCAGCCTGAACAAATTTTAGGACTTTTCGTGAAAAAAAAAACAAAAAGAAAAAATCATCAGCACCTATAAAAGAGTCTGACCTAGGGTCATCGACTCTTAATAAAAACTAACCTAACTAAGGTTTCACTTCCTTCATTGAAACTTAAGTAAAAAAAGGCTTCAAAAATTTTCAAAAAATGCTTCCACGGGATTTGGATTCACGCCCTCGGATTTGGAGTCTACATGTCAACTTTTTCCACGAGAACTGATTAGGTTCGTCTGTCTTAAATGGCTTAACTTACTTTTAAAACAACCGCTTGAATAATTAAATTCAAGATTCAACTATATTGGCTAATTATTCGATTTCAACCGATCAGGCGAGAGGATTCTAACTTTTTTATTGATTTTTTTTTTCGATCTTTTAAACTTGAGCCGTTTAAGTAAAAAAGACCCACTGATTGATTTATTCCCTTTCCGCTTTCATGGTCAGTTTGCAGGTTCAATTTTTCTATTTGCAGCTTAATCTTTACGGCCCATCAGTGAAGTTAGAAAAAACACTAGGACAAAGGAAACTCTCTTCTAATCTGGTTGCAATACGTTTATTCAAAGTTTTAAGTACTTCAGATGAATTTTCATTTAGGACTTCAATTTGGCCGACAAAAATGGCACAGCAAAATATGGAAACTGAAAATACTTGCTCATATTAAAAAATCTTTCTATGGCCTCGAAGCAAACACCTCAGTTGATGACCTCGTTGATTTAACCTCCCACTAGGGATCAAGGAACCACAAGGCTACTATTGAAACACTACACTAATCAGGCGGATTTAGGGGGACTCTTCCCCATTGTCAGTGATTCGACGCCCTAACCAACCAAAGGGGCCCACTATTTGGTATTACTTTTTGTCATCCATTTTTGGCCCACCAACCATAAAATTTTTCTGAAGGCGCAAATATACGCAATTTTTTTTTCAAAATCCTCTCCTCGAGAAAATACTAGATCAGCCCTGACACCAATGATAAAATATTCATTTTACTGATTGCTACTTTGATAGGTTCTGACATGTCCACTTGCCACTGCAAATGATCATTAAAACGCGACGAACAAACCGTCATTAGTTATATTCATAAACTTGAATGTGTTTCGTCAAATTGAATCAAACTACTCAAAACTTACCAGAATTCGTTTTCGTTCTTGGATATTCAGTTTGGTCACATTTGCAAACGGTTTCGCGCCATTTCTAAAATAAGTAAATGACTTAAAATTGTTCACTTGATTAGCTTATCAGATGGGTTAGTTAAAATTGTACTTTATTTTACGGACCCCAACAGCAAATATAAAATCCCCGACAAGTTCAGTTGAAACAAGAAAGAAACAGTACAATAGCTTGGATGCCAAGAGTAAATTGAGCGAAGTTACACCAGTGCTGCATTGTTATTAAGCCAGGGTTCCCTTGCCAGGGACACTGTTATTTAAAGTTAATAATCCAGACATGCAATAACTTTGTTGTCTCAAGCCTTTATCGGAGGCGCCTTCCAGACCTGAGCTGGTATAACTTAATCGGTTCAATCCAAGCACCGCAAAATTTTTTCACGATATGGTTTGTCCAAGCAGATTTGAGACGCGGATCAACTTTTTTTATTGGAAGCCAATGATGTTATTGGAAGCTAATCGCAGTTCGAATTTCAGAAAATTTAAGTATTGATCTTACAACTTCAAAGTTTCAGACCGTATGTGCATTGAAAAGATTTGAAAGTGAGTGGTGTAAGTTGAACAATCGCTCCGCTTGAAATTATAATAAACACAGATTTTACAAACCCAGATCTAGAAAAAATGACTTTATGCTAATTGTTCAAAAAATCCTACGCTATGTTTCATACTGGTGGCTGCAGTGTCACTGAACTTAGGCATTTACAAAACATACATAGCGGTTTTTATGTCGACAATACTCAAAGCTTATAGGCCCGTCTCTATCAATCAATCGGCTGCCAAAAATTTAAATCTGATCAAACCTTTCAAGCAATAAAACTGTGAATAACTTTAGGTTATTCCACATTGTGAATTGTTTTTGCAGAGTTTTAAGTTTTTCAACGCAAGCTATTCAGCCAATCAATGTAACTTTGAAATATTTCAATGTATTTCAGCTTGGACCGGTTCGCAAAGCTTTTCTGAGCAAGCTACTCTATCGATTGAATTTTAGAAAAACTTCATGAAAAAGAGCGATTAAAACTTTGAAAAATTTTCATAAAAATTTATGCTTCAATTCGATTCGCAAAAGTTTAGGTCTACCATTCAAGCCATTCAAGGGATAAACCTTAGAAAAAAACTTCAGCTTAGGCAGTGATGTCCATAAAAAAATTTAAATTAATTGAAATTTTCATTTAAATTTCAATTTATTTAAATGTGAAATTATGAGCCCACTCAAGTAAAATAAAAAATTTTAGTTTAAATCGAGCAATTTAAATTTAAAAGAATTTAAATTGTTCCGGCGGTATTTCGATCCGACGCCAAAGTACAGAGTTTACTCATGATAATTAATTTCACAGTTCCGCGGAAAAAGCAAACTATCTAAATTTTCACAAATTTGATGAATTTTTGTTGCAAATAGATATGGCCAAAAAAACTGCTTCGGAATTCGTTTCACAAAATTGCGAAAAGTTCCCATAATTGGCAGAAAAACTGCTAAAAACAGACTCAAGAAAAATTCAAATTTGTAAAGGAAAATTCAAATAGCTTCGGAAAAATTTAAATTGATGCCAACAATTTTTATAATTTTCTTAAAGAATTTTTAATTCAATTTTTATTTTTTCAAATGGACATCAACGAGTTTAGGCCATACGTTGAATCTTTTCATTGCTTTTTTGTGACTGAGAGTAAAATTAAATTCAGCATTCGTCTAAAAATACACTCTATATGATTATGACAAGTGTAAAATTCAAGAGACGGTTCCATTCAATGCTTTTTGCAAATGCGGGTATCAGAAAAAAAACGAGAAAATGAGCAAAATTAGTCTGACCACAGAGTTCAAAACGAGCTTCAATTGGTCCATACGAGCTTTCTTTGAGGATGTCAACATCCGCTGGAAAAAAAAAACACACCATACAAAATAGAAGAGGTTTTCCATTTTCCCTCTAAATTTCAAATTCAACTGCCAACAAATGCAAAACTAACCCAATGTCGTGATAATGCATGAAAGGATAAAAAATTTGGGGCTATTCTCATGCGCGAAGTACCGAATGGACGAAAAAACTCGTGAGCGAAGAACCGAAAACAAAATTAGCCGAAAACAAGGGCGGATTTATGGGGGGGGGGGGGGGGGGGGGGGGGGAACGCCTTTCTCTCAGGGATTCGACCCCTGCCGACTTTTTAAGAAACCCATTTTTGGCCGACCCTAATATATACTAATTTTTAGAGGTGATAGTGCGCCAAAAAAACGCAATTTTTTGGTCGAAATTTTCTAAAAAGTGCCTAAAAACGCCTTTTTTGGACTGTTTTTTCAAAATTTTGCCTGCGGTGCAGAAAAATTGGCATAAACAGGGACTAAACCGTGCTTAGGGAGAGCTCGAAAAATCAATTTGGTCGACCTAAAAAAAAGGTCGACAAAATTTTCGAAAATTTTTTTGAAAATCCGCCCCCCCCCCCCCCCCCCCTCGAGAAAATCCTAGATCCTCCCCTGGTCGAAAGTCAATTTTTAAGAAGCAATTGCCATTCAATTAAAATGAATTAAATGAAGCAATATTTTGCTTCTTTCATAACGAAACCCTTGAAATGTAAAATTTGTTCCAATTCGGCGGCGATCAGTGACAATTTGAAAAATTTTGCATATTTCTGCCGTTTTTATATTCGGCAAATATCAATACTCAGTCCCTGGAAATGTTAACTTTCTTTCCAAAATTTAGATTACTGAAATCTGATTGGCTGATTTTTATTTTCGCGCATTCGGTCTGGCGTATGAGGGATTCCACCAAAAAATAAACTCTTTAAATCCAACTTCTCTTCATGCCTTGCAGCAAAAAAATCACGCATTAAGCTACAATAGATTAAATGTGGAGGTAGGAAAGAGCCCATTCATCCTATCTTTCATCAAAAAGACTTCAAAAAACCGAAGAGATTTCAGTGCTGAACAATAATATACTAGAAATGATTTTACTTACCCAGTCCTAGAAATATCATAGATAATGTTCAAGCGAACAAGAAACTAAAATAAAATTAACAAGGCAGTTTTTACTAATTAATACAGCCACGTTAGATAACACAGAGTTCGAAGTTTCAATGCAAGCATTGTCTAAATAAAAGTTAAATTCAACATTCGACTACAAACTAACTTGGAAGGGTACAAAAAAACGAAAAGCAATTTATGCATTAAAAAGGAAAATTTGGAATTTTTGTCCAGGGGTGGGGTTGAAACCACCTGTCAAACTTTACAGGTTGAAAGAAAAAAGCTAAATGATAGAAGAATTCTCATTGACCAAAAAAAACTCCTTGAACTACAGAACTAAACAAACTTTTTGAGACGGCCCAAAAATGTTTTTTTTTTATCTTTCCTGTAAGCTTTAGAAAATTATGAACCATATTTTTGACGCACGCTTTCCCTCTTTTTCAAATGAAGCTCATTTTGGTACTCGAATACCTTGTTTACATTTTTTGCAACAACGATTCGACTTAAAAAAGTAACAAAATGAATGGCGAAGCTTCTTTCAGGCGCTAGATAAAGTTTTAAAAAAGTATTTTAGCTTTCAAGTTTTATTTTCAAATGGTTAACTGCCATTCAAAAATTGGCTATTCTACCGTTTGTCCCGACCTGCACGTAAATTGATTTGTATATCAGGTGAGGGGAGGGGCAGGGTTGTCATGTTATTAACTCATTGCTTTTAACAAATCGAGCGTTCAATTCGAATGCAGTCGTTTTTTCATATTTCATCGGAAAAATTGGCCGACTAGGCCAATACTATCTCCTCCAGTGCTGGATTGGAGCTCTGTTTCTCAACTATCGGGCTCACCTATGGAAAACTCCGAAGTTCTTTGGGCGTCCAGAAGGCTAGAAAGCTGGCTTTTCCCTAACAACTCAATGAGTGATTTTATTAATCAATTTTGTTTTTAACGTGTTTTATATATAAACATCTATATATAACTAAGATGTTTACATGTTAAAACGTTTTAGTTAACAATATTACAACCCTGGGGAGGGGGAGGAAACGGTAGAAAAGCCGTTAAATTTTCAGGCACATGCAATCACGCAATTAGAACATACTACCCGCACAAGTGGATCATAAGGGATAACTTACCTTATTCTGAGGTCCAAGTGTTCCATCTCTCCCTTAATAGGATCCACCACGTGTTTCTGAATCGTGTCCTTAAAACTCTGAGAAGAAACTCTGAACAAAAACAGATCACAAACATGTTGACAATATCAGCTGTTTTAACTAAAATTCCGCCCTTTATATCTGATTGCTTGTCACTTCTTCACTGTTAGTAACAGAGCAAAAGATGAATGTAGATATTGAAAAAAAGTTAAGTTATAAATTTGCACAATACTTACATTTTTTGGTCAATTTCAGCCATCCTCGCTGCAACAGCATTGTCAATCCACTTATTGACACCTACAAACAAAACAAACTAACTTGCTTTGATCAAAAACAAACTTTTTTTAGTATAAAAACATAAATTTTAGTGAATCATTCAGATAAACTTCATCCTGTAACTATCTATTTCAGAAAATTGATTTTATAAAATTATTCAGCTATTTCAAATTGGTTGCGAATTCTAATCACACGGAATTTCTCAAGTTTTACTTAATTGAACAGATTATAAAAAGTCGAGCATTAAGAATTCACTTAATACAGGCATCATGAAGGTGAAAAAAATTATTAACTTAAATACGAAATCAATATATTCATATAACCAATTCTAAGCAAACTGTCAACCTCAGCCCAAAGTTTATTACACAGAGGCGAAACCGCACTTCTCAATCACGTTTAAAAAATCAGCTGCAAAAAAACTTGAAAACATAAAAATCTCGAGAACATTTGCCGGAATCGAAACGCCGATCGGGAGATAACGACTCTAGCATCCCGCTTGACATAAAAAACTTCCAGCTATAATGAAGCTTAGCATACTCATGATATTAAATTGCCAAAGCTATGCAGCAAGCGTGCGGCCATCAAAATGAGCACTATTTTACACCAAATTGGTTGGAACAAATATTAGAATGATAGCATAACACTAGGCTTGCAAGTAAAAACGAATTTCAAAGCAAATACATGTGGCCCTAAAGCTCTTCGAATTTCTAAAACAATATTTGATTGACACTTTTTTGATTAAACTAGCCCAATTGAAAAAAAACTGGAAAAAACCTAGCCCAATAGGTAATTTTTTTTAGTCCACTGAGAAATCTGAAAAAAACTCCTGTTTCGAAACTCGAAGTCGATCACGTTATCTTTACACTTTTGCAGTTCAAAAAAGGAGTGTGCCTTCCTTGAACTAAAAAAAAAACAAAAGAAGAACTTCATTAAAAAAAATCTAAAGTCAAACCGCGCAAATTTTAATTTTTACGTGAATAAAATTTAAGACTTTTTCATGAAAAAAAAACAACCAAGGATAGCCGGTTATTGTGCAAGTAGCACATTATGTTCTGACCATAGTCCTAAACATACCCAAAAGAAAGTTTTTTTTCAAATTAGTGTAGTTTTTCTGCGTGGTGTGATACAATGATCTGATAAAACTGGAATTGAGGCATATTCGACAGTCATAGTAGTGTAGGCAAATTTAGAAAAATTGCAGAAAAACTACTTTAAAAAATTAAGAAAAACACAAAAACAATTCAATCACTTTTTTTTAATGATTGAATTCCTAAAACGGAATTTCTTTTTTAATTCCTAAACCGGAATTTCAAAACTCTTGCATTACTTGAGTAAAACTACAAGCATAAATAAACCGTAGTAAGACTACTCACTTGCTCGCTTTATTAGCTCGAAATAAAAAAAATCAAAGAATTTAAACCGTTTGTTTTTCAATACTGAGAAAACTTTTCGAAATTTTCGTTCGAATCACGACTGAAAGGGCTTCAATTTAGTATATCACTCGACCCATTGCGTTGATTAATTGTCTTACCTGACTTTGATGGAAAAAAACATCACCCGAATAAAAAATTCCTCGCCATTTTTCAAATCCTTCAATGAGTGTTTTGAGTATGAGGTGTTAGTTTATAAGCCCAGAAGATCAGCATGAAAAACCAGAGGAACAAAATGAAAAACCGCACAAATGAAAAAAACCGCACTTTACATAGGATGACCAGATATTTCAATTTATTGACACAAAAATCGTTGCTCGCAGAACAATTTGTCAATATTTGTCATTTAGCTGACTAACGGATTATCCACAATTGGACTTGTTCACGTATGACTGCTGCATGGGCTGTAAGGGGTTTCTAACTGTCAAGGCTCAAATCTTTTCTAGCGGGACTTAGAGATTTTAGCGGGGCTTAGAGTGAAAACGCGCCATTAGCAGAATCAACGGAATATTTGTGCTCGGGTGGGTTTTTTTTCTTCAGACAAATTTCGACTTTTTAACTAGCAAGTTTTGACGGAATTTTTTAATATCATTCGAAAACTATTGTTGTCTTGAGCTTTAAATTGAAAAGATATTTTACCTGTGATCTTTTTTCGTAAAGTTATGGGGGTTTAAAGATTTTGGTCAATTTAAAAAGATATTTTACCTGTGATCTTTTTTCGTAAAGTTATGGGGGTTTAAAGCCATTTTGGTCAATTTGGGACAATTAACGCGCGATATATTTTGCGCAATTAACGAGTAAGCGGAGATTTAATCCGTCTTAGAAATCGTTCCAAATTGGTTCAAGGAAGGTTATTTGCCATGATTGATTTGTTAGTAGGATTAAAAGTTATCACTTTGTTCTTAATATGACGTGTGGGGTGATGTTTTCACAAAAAAATCTCTAACTTTTTTCTGAGAATTTTTTAAATTTTATTTTATTACAATTAGATTTTTCTTGTTATTACTGCTCCATAGACCTTCAAAGGCAGTCGGAACATTCAGGGCTTCGCCTTGTTACGAGCAGTCTTGTTTCTTTTCAAAAAGTCATAGAGCATTTGTATTAAATTTGTTCACATTGTCTAGTCAGTGCCACTTAAACTGGGCGGAAATGAAAACGGATTATAATGGCTTGAACGGGGCCTAGGAAATTAGAGGATAAGCAAATTAGACGGATACTACAAAAACGAATTTAGACGGAATTTATTTTTTACAGATCTGGCATTTTAGACGAAAAAGCTATGAAAAGGAAAGGGCCAACAAAATTTTTTCTTAAGAGTCAAGTTTCACAAATACAAAAAGAACATAAAATGTCAATATCTATCAAAACAATTAGTTTAAATGAACATAAAATGTCAAATCTGAATATTATAGTAGAGCTTTGAATTGAATAAATTATGCATGATTGACTTGTAATTTTTTTGGCCACCGAAATTGAACTGTTGTCTACAAACAATTTTATTTTTCTAACGCAATTTGTGTGCAAACAAAGTTAATTTATCTCACTTTCGTTTATTTTCTCACAATTGCAGTTTTGCTAAACCGTCTAATTTCCTTTTAAGTACCTCCGTCTAATTTGCTTATCGTCTAATTTCTCAACCCCCGGCTTGAACTAATTTTCTTCGCAAATAGAAAAATGGTTGAAAAAGATGTGAAATCTTGTTTATTAACGATTTTGAAGCAAATTTGGGTGTCTTTTCGGCTATACCCCTTAAGTAATGAAAAAGGAAAATGAAACTTCTGTATTACAGAATTAAATCTATATTACACAAAAAGTCGGGATATGAATAAAGGACATGCGAAAAGGGTTTTCCTTTAATTTTTTTTGCCGTTTTCTCCACATAAACTCCAAAAATATCACAGCAAATACAGTTTTCAGGCCCATGTGAACAATCTCCCCCAAAATAGACCAAGAAAATAATCTCCCTCGTAAAGTTAAACGACAAATTTTAGCAGTGAGGCCACTAAATCTGATTGGCTGAAAAATATTACTTTGAACTAAATGAACAATCTCTCCCTATTTTGATTTTTCATGTTGGTTCAACGCTCTGGAGATCCAGGTTGGGTAAGACAGTGCCGAAAACAAAAATTTGTTAAAGAGTGCCGAAAATTTGTTAAAGAGTGCAGAAACTGACTTATTTGTTGTGAACTAATTGAGAAAAGAAAAGAAAGTTTTGTTTGCTCATCGATTTTGGCGCTAAAATTGAGTCTGAACAAGTTTATTTGTCGTGAACTAATTGAGAAAAGAAAAGAAAGTTTTGTTTGCTCATCGATTTTGGCGCCAAAATTGAGTCTGAACAAGTTTCAAGTGTCATTATTAATTTTCCCGCCAAAAGCTAGCCTCTTAAATTGCGTTCCAATATTTCCCGCCTTTTTCGGCACTCTCTAACTTCGGCACTGTCTAACGCCCCCGGAGATCCAACCTGCATTTTTAAAGTTAATCGAATCCATTTTCACTATTTTGACACAAAAAAGTAAGTTGATGGTTTTGACTTAAACAAATAAGTTAGTTCCTAAAAAGTACTTAAATCACTTAATTTGAAATCAAGTCGTGGAAAATCCTTGCGACTTATCAGAGAAACCACATAAGGTTTCATTTTTTTAGAACTATTTGTCTTGCAGGGCTTTTTTGCCTTTCACAAATTTAGTTTTGCGTTTTCAAAGTCGCCCAGTATATCTGTTCAGGGGCGGATCTAGGTTTTTGGAGGGGGGGGGGGGGGCGGATTTTCAATAAATTTTCGAATCTCTTCCAAATAACTAAAGACTCTATTTCGACCAAATTTTCAGCGCGGCAGGCGATTTTTGAAAAACCGGCCAAAACACGCGTTTTTAGAAACTTTATGGATAGTTTTGACCAAACAATCGCGTTTTTTCGGCGCGCGCCCTTTCTCAAAATTAGTATGAGGCAAAAGGTGCCTTTAGAACAAATTAATGGCCGGTGTCAGCCAAAAATCAAGGCCTTCAAATGTACCAAAGCGGGAAACTTTGGGTCGTTAAGGGGGATCCTTTGAGTCGTTGGGGGAGGGGCATCCCCCCAAATCCGCTACTGTATCTGGTGAGCCTTGATTGCACTTTTCGTATAATTCCAATTGCTATGCTGCTTTCACTTTTTATTGCTTATCGTTAACATTTTTATTCTGCTTTAGTTATGTCACTCAAATCGAAATGTGTGGCTACACGTTATGTACTATTTTGAATGCATATCACTAATGAAGATGAGACAACTTAGTTGATACAGCACCGATCAAAATGTGCTGTCAATACCTTATATCTACTGATATATTTTATTAAACTTTCCTTAGTTTATTTATCACTTTCCTTGTCGTCTCCATTTGAAATCACTGAGAGCACTTCAATATGATACGATAGTTGAGTACTATGGGCGGGGAGAGAGAGGTTACAGTTAATGGGCTTTCTACTTACCACTGTATATGCAGTAGAGAACGAATAAAGAGGAGACGAGGATTAAAAATAGCTGCTGATTTTTCTGCATTCTATATCCACCACGAACACTTTCACAGACTCCACAACACAAAGTCAAAGAAGACCGACGAAACCTGAAATAAAAAAAAATTACGATATCAGTGGCGAATCATTTTCTTCTTTGAGAGTTCTCAAGAGTACGCTGTACCTCGGCACCCAAAAATATTTCGATACAATATCAAAAAAGCTGTTTCGGAAGTCTTCGTGATCATTCTTTTTAAGCAAATTAACATACACATCACTTCTAATGTAGAACGTTTGACAGGAACTCACAAAATGAATCAAGAAAACCAAAAAATTGAATTATTTATTGAACATTTCTTAAAATGCAAATTTCGATTAAAATAGATCCCACTAAAGCTCCAAGACTTTCGAGAATCTTTTATGAGTGATATTATGAGAAATTTCATAAAACTAACCCAACTAGAGAAATCTGGGTTAATATTTAATTGTTTATTCAGCTGGAAAATCTAAAAATTTAAATCAATTTTCGAATCTACGAGTCTTCCACGTTTTTAGCGCAACTCGCACTTTTCCACAAAAAGGAGAACGCAATTTAACGTCCTTTTAGCAAATGAATTCGAATTGACCTGAAGAAAAATCAGAGATCAACAGCGAAAGATCAAATTTGTGCGTGATTAAATTTTAAGACTTTTTGCTAAAAAAAACACGACCCTTATAAGTTTCTTCATTTCATTCAATGACACGTAACTAAACCCAATTACCACAAACTCTTATGAACCAAAAGAGGCTCATTTGAAACAATCGCTTACAATTGAAAAAATCAGTTATGAAAATTAAAAGGAATCATATAACGAAAAACAAAATATTTTAGAGCTCAACTTATGATAATGAGCTGTGGATTAAAAATGATGTGAACAGAAAACAAACTGAATAAAGAACAAATCAAAGCCCAAAAATAAATTTCACGCACAATTCGCCTCACAAAAATAAATGAGTCAATTTATAATTCATTATAATGATAACAGTTTTAGTGACATTTTAATAAATTTTAATAAATTATAATTGATTATCATTTTTCCGAAAATCTCTTGTATTCTATTATAATAAATTATAATCCCTTTTTCTATCAAAATACTATCTCGCAAAAAATCAATTATAATGAATTATAATTTAGCTATTCTGCAAGAAAATACAGTAAAAATCAAATTTAATGTAAGTTTAAGCTATAAGCAGGGGCCGATCTAGGACTTTCTATCAAAATATTATCTCGCAAAAAATCAATTATAATGAATTATAATTTAGCTATTCTGCAAGAAAATACAGTAAAAATCAAATTTAATGTAAGTTTAAGCTATAAGCAGGGGCCGATCTAGGAATTTCTCGGGGGAGGGGAGCGGATTTTCAAAAACTTTCGAAAATTTTGTCGACATTTTTTTTACGTTGACCAAATTGATTTCATTAGCACTCCTAGCTCACTAAAACGGCCCCATTTTGATCAAACTTTCTGCACCGCAGGCAAAATTATGAAAAATAGACGTTTCAGTTAAAAATGAATACAAGGGGCAGCCGTGGTGGCCCCAATAGTCAATGTTGAATTGTTGAAAAGTTTGATCACGACGATATTTTCTGGATTACTTATCATTGGACACTGGGTGGAACTACACTCTGGACGGATCCCGACTTGCTGTGTTCGCCATCCCAATTCCCAATCAGCTGAGTTCATTCCAATTTTGTTTATTTATTTTTCTTAGTCTCTATACCTTATGATTAAAACATTAGGTGCAAGTTCTCTTTACCATTCCATCAATAAACTTGAACAATCGGAACAAGATAAGCTTGCTGATCCTGTTCACTCTTTCCTGGACTGAATCTTGACCCTAGCACGTCAAATTACTGCCTCGATTACCTTACATCAACCCCTCTCAGGAACTGCAAAATTGTTCTCTGGCACGACTTATTAAACAACACAATAACATCGCACCCGAAAAAAGGCAACAAACCCCAAACAATCGAAGAACTGATTGCGACCCTTAAGACTATTCCAAACCTCTTTTGCGTCGTTACCTGTCAACGCAAAGGTGCTCCCTACATATTCGACGATCTTCTCAATTCATTAGACTGTTACGTCATCGACGTAACCAAGCACATTATCAGTGCTTCCGAAAGAATTGATGAATCGTTAATTGCAGAATACCGAAAACTGCACTAGGCTGCTGACATAGAGTCGAGGACTCTAGCTACTGTGCTGCACTATTTTCCCGACTTCAATAGAATCTTCAAAACACGTGGCACGAAGCGTCGAACGGCTGGCTAAACAGGTACGCAAATCTGAGTCCTAAACCTTGAAATCTCAACAGGCGTGCTCATCGAGTCACTGGCTCTGAGCCCATTTAAGATTTTAAGATGTCCAAACATAACACCCGAATTCGGGTCAAGTCAGTCTCTGATTCTTGTAGTACGTGCTGCGAGAAAATCCTTAAGAATGAAAGCTCTTTCGACTGCTTTTGCTGTGGTTGTCGAATGCACCTGAATGAAGACTGCACTGGTCTAAGTGAAGCCGCTGTCAATGGAGTACCAGCCTTAGGAAAAAATGCTCTATTGATATGCAACAAATGCGTTGAAGAAAAACGTCAAGATAATTTGACCCAAGCTGCCCATGAAACTACAACCTCAAAAGAACTTCAAGAAACTCAGATGAAAACCCTGGAAAACGAAATGACTGACCTCAAAAAAACAGTGACCGAAATCAAAACGCTGCTAACCACAAAAGAACCTGATTCAGATTATCCAACCCAACCTAGCTCAATTGCCAGTCGCCAAAAACCGCCACCGAAACCCGCCGACGAACTCGATGGAACTCGCATACGAGGAATCCCTGAATCAATGGAGAAGGAAGCCAGGTTGCGCCAAGAACACGATCTCGCCAAAGTTCAAAAAGTATTGACCCATATGGATGTCAATGCCTCAATTGGCGATGTCATACGCCTGGGTCGACATGACGAGAACAAGACAAGAACAACCATATTTAAAGTGCCCAATGCATACCAACGACGAATGATATTTCTATCTCTGAGGAAACTGAAAAACTCCCCTCAACCAATTTTCCTCAGCCGAAAACTGACGAAGGAAGAAGCTGATCAAGAAAACCTTGCCCTCGTCAGAAGAAGGCAACTTATCAGCGACAAATCTGTAGACCGAAAGGACATAAGAGTCCACGATGCAACTCTGTACATTCGGAAAGATGGAAAGTGGACAAAAGAGAAACTCCCAGATCCCGAAGCACCCATTTGACTAGCAGCGACGATGAATATCCTTGTTTACAATGTCAGAAGTATTCTTGAGTATCAACGGCGGACAACCTTCTCTAATGCAGTCCAAGTAAAAAACGCTCATCAAGTCATCTGCCTAACTGAAACCTGGTTGACAGAAAGCATCGGCGACGCTGCACTTTTTTTGACAAACTACGTTATCCACCGAAATGACAGACCGAGTGACAAAGGCTTGACAAAACATGGTGGCGTACTCATAGCAGTAAACCGTAACATTCCAAGTAGCCAAATCAATTCCGCGTTTCAAGATTGTGTTATCATCCGCATATCCCTGAACAAGCCGATTTTAGTATGCTGCATCTACAGCGGTCCTTCAAACAGTACCTACACATGGGACATCTCAGATCTAATCGAACTCCTAAAGTTCCTGAGGCGTAAGCAATTCGAACAAAGTGCAATTTGTTCGTATATAGTTGGAGATATAAATTTTAACTGTACACACTGGCCGTCAATGACTTGTGAGCAGTCAATCCTTGACGAACTCTGTGAATCAAACTTCCAACAACTAATAAAAACCCCTGATGGAAAATCACTTGGCGTTCTCCTTAGTAACAAACCGCAATTTGTCACCAGCGTAAAACTTGACAACCGTCTGAGTAGTCTATTGAGTTCCGACCATTTGCCACTCCATGCCAAAGTCTCATTTGACTACCGACCTGTTAATAACAATACACCAGCCATCAAACAAAAACTAGATTTTGGCATTTTCGCGTACAAGAAAGCAAACTGGGAAGAATTGAATGAATTCATTCGTCAACACCCCTTCCAACCATTTTGTTTGAGCAACGTTGAACTGATGCTCGATCATTGGTACGAGTGGTTATACGAAATACTACAGGACCTGCTACCTATCACTACAAAACACAGGTCTGAACTAGCTCCTTGGGTGGGAAGCGATTCCTCCAACCTTATAAAGAAATTAAATACACTCCAACTTAAAAATCAGCGAACACCTGCCCCATCGAACGAAGGCAAAATTGAAAATCTGCAAACTGAACTAACACTGTCCCTTCAAATTGACCAGCATCTCCACCAAAAAATGGTTTTTGAGAATGGGAAATTCAGCGAAATACAACGATATCTGAAATCGATCACCAAGTCTCGCATGATCCCTTCAGAGATCTTCCTAGATCAAAAAATAGCCAATACAGACGCTCAAAAAGCTGAATTGTTTAACATATATTTTCAATCAGTTTTCACACGAAACGCCAACGTTGGGAAAGCAGAACGACAAGATAACGTTCTTCTGAACAGTATCAATTTCACTATCGATGAAATAGAAGATGCCCTGAACGAGCTGCACGTAAATAAGGCAAATGGACCAGACATGATTGGTAACTCTCTTCTGAAAAACCTCTCAAAGTCACTACCAAAATCACTTCACTTATTTTTCAACTTGATTGCAAATAAAGCGATATTTTCAACAAAACAGAAGATCAGCGAAATCGCACCAATTTTCAAAGACGGGGATAAACAAGACGTATCAAATTACATGCCGATCAGCCTGCTCTCAGCAGTGTCAAAACTGCTTGAGAAACTAATATTTGAGAAACTGGCCCAATTGTCTACCCAACACTTACACCAGACCAACACGGTTTTAGACCTAAACGATCGACGATAACAAACCTATTAGAGTATCTACACGAGATATTTAGCTGCCTAGATTCGCCAAACTGCAACTACCTGAACACGTTCTACTTGGACTTTCAAAAGGCTTTTGACAAAGTCTCGCACGGAATCCTGATGGAGAAATTAGCGACTTCTGGAATTGGAGGAAATTG